AAAGGCATAAAGAAGCCCCTCTGGCCACGTGTGAGCCAGGGCATCCTAACGCAGAGGACTGGTCCTCTCCGTCAGGGAGAACCAATGGGGACAGTGGGTCGACATCTCCGAGGCAAAGAGATCCACCTCTGCCCTACCGAAGAGACCCCAAATGTTCTGCACTACATCTGGATGAAGCCGCCACTCCCCCGGTGGAGGCTTGTGACGGGACAGGAAATCTGCAACCTGGTTCCGTTCCCCTGGTAGGTACATTGCCCGAAGGCTAGTAAGGCGAGGGGCAGCCCAAGTCAGAAGGGCACGGGATACCCGTAGTAACTCTGCGGATCTGGTGCCCCCTTGATGGTTTATGTGAAACACCGCAGAGGTGTTGTCCGACCGGACAAGCACATGCTTTCCCCTCAAGTATGGCAGAAAATGTTTGAGCGCTAGGTCCACGGCCCATAGCTCTAGAACATTGACATTATCTATGCAGTCTTGTGCAGACCACTGCCCCTGAGCAGTCCTGTTCTGCCACACTGCACCCCATCCTGAGAGGCAGGCATCTGTTGTGACCACCTCTCGGCGGAATGGGACCGAACCCATGGGGACACCGTTTGCAAGGTATGCTCTCTCCCTCCATGGGGATAGAGTGAGTAGGCACTGCTCCGATACTACTATTGCCCTGTGTCTGTGCCACTTGGCATCCAAGTGAAGGCTGTTCAGCCATCTCTGCAGGGGGCGCAGTGACAGCAAACCTAAGGGAACGACAGCTGAGGGAGCTGTCAGTTTGCCCAATAGGCGGAGAAAAAGAATGTAGGGCAACTGCCTGCCCCCTCCGAAGGGAGAGAGGCTGTGGAGGATGTCGTCCACCCGTTGGGGTGACGGACAGGCACTCATAGTGACTGTATCCAGAGCCACACCAATGAAGGTTATGCTCTGAGAAGGGCTCAGGGAGCTCTTCTCCATGTTCACCCTGAGGCCCGACCGGGCCACGTGAGAGAGAAGGCGAGCAGTGTCCTGGTGCCGCCTGAAGCTGGGATGGCGCACAGATCAGCCAATCGTCCAAGTACAGCAGTATTTTCATGCCCTGTGATTGCAGGGGGGAAAGGGCAGCAGCAACGCACCTTGTGAACACCCGTGGGGAGAGGGAGAGTCCGAATGGGAGCACCCTGAACTGGAAGTGACCGCCTTGAAAGGCGAAGCGAAGAAGCCGCCTGTGGTGAGGTACAATGGGAACATGGAAATAGGCATCCTACAGGTCGACAGACGTGAACCAGTCTCCCCTGGAAACCGCCCAAAGGACGTCTGCTGTGGTCAGCATGTGAAATGGTAACACCTTCAGGAACTTGTTTAGTCCCCTCAGGTCTAGGATTGGGCGCAGTCCGCCGCCTCTCTTTTTTACAAGAAAGTAAATTGAGTAGAACCCCCCCCGGGTTGTGACAGGGGGTCGGTTTTTTGCCGGATCGGTGATGCTGGTCATTTTGACCTGGGTGGAGGCTGGTGGCCGGCGTTGGAACTGAAGCTTGTACCCCTGGGTTAAGGTGGACACCACCCAGGGGTCTGAAGCATGAGCTGCCCAGTAGCTGATGTGCTGCTGGGAGAAATAACCGACGGCCGGCCAGGAGACATCATCTCCTGTACCCCCTGCCTCTTGAGGCTCTGGGGGGGCTAGGTCTGAGGTTGTCTAGGGGGGATGTAGGTAGAGTTTTGTGGGTAGCGGTCCGGCCTCTCAGCGGTACGCTGAGGCCTGTGGTGGCTACTGGGGTGAGCTGGGGGCTGAAAACGGCCCCGGGGGAATGAAGTAGGACCCCAAGGTCTGCGGGGTGCGAGCATGTCCCTGCGAAGACCAGAGAACTGCTGCCTGGTCTGGCTAGCTTCAACAGACCGCTGAAGCGCCTGTATAGCGGCTGACCCAAACAGCTCACCAGGTTCCACTGGGATAGTACGGAGGGTCCTCCTACATGTCTCAGACAGGGGTGACTGCGCCAGCCAAACCTGGCGGCGAGTCTGGACCAGGGTGGACATCAGTCGTCCAAGTTCCCTCGACATGAACGCAAACGCCTGCAGTGAGGCATCACTGAGGCTGGTGGCGGAAGCGTCTGAAGTAGCCTGCTGCAGAGAAGCTGAGAGGGCAAGCATGAGGTGGGAGAGGGAGTTGCCAATACGACCCATGCGCGCTGCTGTGTCATAAGCCCTGGATAACATGTCATCTGTGACCCGACATTGGGGTCGAGGGCACCTGGCATCGGGCCTCAGGGTCTCCTCAGGGGAAACTATGAGGGACGCAATAGTCGGCTCAACAGCTGGCATACGGGTGAGGCCAAATTTTGCCGCGTCCTGCATGGCCGCCAGGGTTCGTCCATCTGATGTAAGACGGGACAGAGTCCTGGTGTCTCTCCAGCATGCATGTCGCTCCCTCAGATATTCTTCGGAGGGAGGAACAGCAAAGGTGGTGGGGGCGAGAACACGCCTGAAGAAGGCACTCGCAGGCTGGGGATCCGGCTGTTGCGTATCTAACTGCAGGCGTGCCAGTGCCATGCGAATGACAGACCCCATGGAGCTATCGACTGCCCCTTCCGAAGAGCTCTGAGCTGAGGAACGGGAGGCAGGTCCAGAAGCATGGGAGGGCCGCTCTTCACTGTACTCAGTAAAGAGATTGGCTGACGCTGCCAGTGATATAACGTCCTCTTCTGAGCCAAGCTCAGCCGCGGGTGGATCTGGTGCTTCAGCCCCCCCTACACTAGGTTGGAGGGCCAGTAGAAGCGACTTCATTTGAGCTAGCTTGGAGGTCAGCAGATCCACTCTAGAAGACAGCCCGCTGGGTTTAGCCCTCTTGGAGGGAGCCCCTGCGGTTTCTGTGGCCCTGCACTTGGAACGGGTAGGTTGGGCTGGATTCAACTGCCCTGAAAGGGGGAGGTCGACCATACCTGTCAGGTGTTCCGCCTCGGCGAGCCTAGCAGCCCTTACTGCTTGAGGCATGATGCCACAGTCCATGCATGTGTTCTCAGAGAGGCCTTCCCTCAGATGCTCGAGGCCAAGGCAAGAGGGGCAGAAGTCATGGCTATCATCAGGCTGTAGAGGAGCCATACAGGTCCTACAGCCGGGAAAGTCAAACATGGCCAACTCTCTAGGTCAGTCTGAGCGGGAGGCTCTGCTGAATGTTTGTGAGAACAGGCAGGGGACAGTCAGTGAGAGGGGAGGGACGACACTCTCTTCACTTGGACAGTTGCTGTAACTCTTGGTGTGCCACCAGTTAGCCTGAGCGAGGGCACTCTGCTAACTGTGATATCCGTAATGTTTACAAACAATCAATGGACACAATCTGAGTATTAACTTAGTCTAGTTAGCCGGAGCGAGAACGCTCTGCTAACTGATATGGCCATAATGTTTACAATCAATGGACACAATCTGAGTATTAGATTAGTCTCGTTAGCCGGAGCAAGAACGCTCTGCTAACTGTGATAGCCGTGTAAGGAATCAATGGGCACAATGTCAACGTCGATCTAGTATAACTAGCATCTCCCAAGTTAACTTGAGCGGGAACACTCTGCTCACTGTGAAGGGCGGCCCGACAGCGTAACTCTACGCTCACGTTAGCACGCCACTCGATTAGCTAGAGCGGAAGCGCTCTGCAAACCGAGGAAAAAAACGAACAATGGTTATAGACAAACAATGTTAGTCGATCTCACCGATTGCTGTCGTCGCAATTTGGGTGGCCCCTATCAGACTGAGTCCGGGGCTCGATGGTCTGCACGGCGAAAACACCGTTCCCTCCTAAGAGGGACAGCTTGTCGTAGCCTTTGGAGGGTGAAGATCCGCAACTCCGACCAGTGGTCACAAGGCTACCGCGACAAACTCTAATATGTCTTGATCGTAGACAAAATATATATTTTTTCTACTACCATGGTAGTTAACCTGCGTAGCGAGAAGATGAAAAAGGACTGAACTCAGGATGACACTGGAACTTATAGACAACGGGGGTCATCCGAGGTCACAGGTGACTTTGTTGATATAAATATTCGACCTGCGCATGCGCGAGACGGAAGATATCCAGTGTTAAGCACTGCCTCTGGCGGTCAGTAAGGATGAAATAGAAAGGTAGTTGGTTTTGTTTTCCTGTGATGTTATTTCCTCTAATGCACGCTCACAACATGAATGTGACCTGATCAAAAAGCAGATTAGTTGCTTCATATCAGGACTTTGAAGCTAGCTAACTCAAAGAATGAACAATTATTTAAAACTTGATCATAACTTTTGGGATTGTGTTCCTCCCGACAGGTTGAATAACAGGTCGATCACTAACAAACACAAACAATGTGAGTATTGAAAGAATGTCCCCATTCAAGCTATTCTACATTAAAATCTGATCTTAATGAGCCTCATCGTAACAAAAAGTATTTTTCAATTCTGTTAGAGCTGTTTGAATAATTTTGTCTGCTAATGTTTCTCTTTCTCTTCTTCTCTCCATCAGGTGACACCGACGGCAAACTGCATGTGAAAACAAATGTGCCCAACATAGAGGTGAGGGAGCAGCAGCTGAAGAGCGTGAAGTTTATTTACTGAGGTTTCTCTACTGAGTAAATGTAATTATTGTGTACCAGGGGAACAGAGGAAAGAGAACTGTGGCTTGTTACTTGATTTCTAATGAAAGAACTAACTTTGTGCCTTCTTGATTCCAGACTCCATTCTCATTCTCACCTGAACACACAGCTGAATCTTCATACAGGTAATCCTATGAAATACACTATTCCAGCTTCTTTCACGGTTCATCAAGTTGTGATTCTAAACGAAGGTCTGTTGTCTGTGGGGAGCAAGTCAAAGCAGGACCTGGACCTTATTGATAAAACTCTGTAGGATCCATATAAAAAACAAAAATCAGATTAATAAAACTGTGCATGCATTCATTCACGGTTCAGGTACTGGTTCAGGTGGCTTTGAACACAAAAGGCGACATTGAAACGATGAGGAACTGACAGAAGGACAAGGGGTCTGGGCCGGTATATAAATAGAGATGTTGATGAGGGAATGAGATGCAGGTGAGGAGGTGGGCAGGGATGAGGGAAGTGGGAACAACATCTCAAGAACAATTGTCTTGTGAGTATGTTCACAATAAGTAATACATGCTGCTGATGCTCATAATGAAGAAGAATCTTCCCGGTAATGTGTCTGACCAATGACAGAACAGCTTTCTCTCACATGGCATTAGTCTTGAACGTCTCTGTGTGAACACAAACAAACCGAGGGGCAAATGCAACCACTGTACGAAGTTAGTCTGTGAATCGACAACAAAGCAAACAAACTACGGGTCTGAAAACGCCCTAAATAAGAGTGGAGTTGTCCTCTGGGTGTCGTCACGCTTTACACTACGATCAGTTTGTGCTGCACATGGACACCTGTGAGTGAAAACAGATCATGTGACAAACAGGCCAATAGATGCTTCTTATATTAATTTGTCCTTTCCGTGTCCTACAGGTTCAGGTGTCCTGGTCCAGGTGTGTTCCAGTGTTCTTTGACTGGACTGGTGTTTGTTATGGCTCAAGAGGCAGAGCTGCTGTACAGGACTGTCCAATGGGATGAGGGCCTCCTCCAGCCAGCTGGCAAGAAGGCTGCAGGGCCGCTGTTCGACATCAAGAGTTCTGAGGATGCTGCAGTCTGTCGGCTCCACCTCCCACACTGTGAAACAAAGCACGGTAAAGACATGGCTGTCTTCAGTGTTCAGGAATAAATCACCAAAACTACAAAGAGTTGTATTAATGTGTAAAACTAGCTGCATCTGGTGACATGCAAAAAAATACATTATAATGGTGGTAACACGAAATGCACAGATCCAGACAGATCACATGTGGGAAAATATGATGAATTCAAACATAATAGTTAAAGGATAGGGGCGGAGTGGGAGGCTCCAGAGTATATTGGCTAACACACTTCATGCAAACTCAAAAACAAGCGGTGATGTAAGCAGGAAATCAGCTGCACTCAGCTGTGGTATCACTAGGGGCCGGGGGTTTGTTAAGAGTGGTGGGTTAGCAGGCAGTCGATGGCAGTATGAAACAGGCAATAAAGGTTGTTTAGAGGAAGTGTGAGTCACTGCAACCACAAGAGGTCCTTGAGAATGCAGCCATAACTAAAATATTATGCAGTCAGCTGTAGCAGAAGGTGAGATTAGCCGTGGACAGACACAGAGGTGCACACTCACTCAATCACAGGCACGCATGAGACCAATCGCATGATTCTCCTGGCGGAGAAAAAAATGACAAATTGAACTCAAGTGGTAAGAAATGAATTAGGTTGGGTTGGGATGAACCTGTTTCAGCAACAATAAATAAAGGTTTAACAGCTCTTTGCTCCCACAGCGTTGGTCTTTGACGGCCTGTTGTCTGTCGTCCACATCACTGATGATGGAATGACAATCCTGGAGCCGCTGGAGATTACGGATACTCATGTGGTGGTGAAGGTCCCTAACCTCTCCGCTTTTGGCCTCGTCTGGGATTACGTCAGGAGGTTTCTGAACATCACACTGCCAATAAAGGGTCAAGTTCTGCTGTTCCTCCGACCTCCGCACTCCAGTGATCAAATTCTCGATGTGTTGCTGCTGCAGAAAAACATCCCTGTGCATGAGGTAAAGCTCTCTGTCATATGTGCTCACCAGCAACTTAGACTCTTGTTTTAAGCCACAGCTGTTTCCACAAAGACGGTTCACACGTTGCTCCTCGTGCTGTGCTAAGAATCAAATCTATCTGAACTGTAAATCTTCAGATTGCTTTGTTTTGTTTTTGTAGTTTTTTGATTCTCTCTCAGCATGTATTTCCATCTGCCACTAACATTCGTGATACTTCTACCAGATGGCATGAATAGTAAACACAACACAGAAACAATGGAAACAGGTTTGCTGAGATGATCACTCAACTGAGAGGCTTTACAGGCAGAGTGAACGTTATT